TTATGTCTTTATTCTCCGAGTGTAAATTAAAACAAGGAAGAGATTTTTATCAAAAGATTAAAATTTAACAAAAGGGTAACATTGGGGATAGCATTTCAAATTGGGATTGGTTTCACCAGACCCCTGTAAGTATGTAATAACTATGTCAAAGGAAATCATTTTTGAAATTTGGTCTTTAGTTATCTAGTCACTTGTGTGGTTAACCATATGTGGTACTTTCCGTAAACACAGTGGATTATTATTTATACAAGTGTCTGAAATATCGCAAAAGAAAATAGCTCTTCTTAACTAATAGTATATATAGTTGGTCAAAGTAACGAACATTTTGACCATACATACTGTAAGTCTGAATGTTCTATGTGTATCTCCATGGAATTTAGCAAGCTTTTAGTAAACATTACAAGACATTTGTACACAAAAAATCAGATTTTTTAATTATCTTTACAAACGATTTGTCTGTGACTTTATGGAGTCTGTGTGCAAGATGATTTTCACATTAATATTAAAAATACTTTTGTTTTCATTTTACAATTTTCACATTCTATTTTCATAATCTCTAGAACCTCTTGAAAATGATCAAAAGTTGCTTTTGTTCCAATGAAACATTTTCTATACCACGAGAGGCTGATACAAGGATGCTTCTGAGAGTGAGGTACCAATACTATGTTGTCATTCATTATGGTGCCATTGGCACGTGTACACTGTTCTTTCTTACTGGATCTGGGGTAATGAAAAGGGAGATAGCCATCCATGATACTGCTTCAGCTATGTGTGAACAAGTGTAAATACCTACCAGCAATTCATGCTTTGAGAGGATGTGATTCAATAAGTAGTTTATCAGGAATCAGCAAAAAGAAAGCCGTCACCACCATCAAGGCTTATAAAAAAGACTTGTCTTTTGCTGAACTTGGGCAATAATACATGTAACATAAATTGCAATGTCCTACTAGCTGCAAGACTTTTCATAAGAAAGTTGTACACCCAAGATTTTGAAAACCTGGATGATTTGTACCTGTAATGAGTGTGTGGGCAGCCCATGGTGTTAGTTGTTGGGTTCAATGTTACACTCGTTACAAAGGAATTTATTTGGATTTCAGGTCATGCTTTTGCTAGCGGAGCACACAAGCCACCAACTCGAGGAAATTTATATGTGAGATATAAAACTCGCACAGAGGCAATGGAATACAAATCAAATAATTTATTTATTTATAAACTGTTGAACAGTTCACCTGTATCGAAACTCTCAAGGTTGTCTTGAAACAACACTAACTCTAAGTCATTGAATTCTTCACTTTAAAAGTCCAGATGTTCATTAATAAGACCTTCTACATTAGTTAGCAACGAAGTTAACAGGAGAAATTCTCTGTCATAATCTGTGTAACTTCATTAACAATTCTTCTAAGATATCTTTCAGTAGTTCTACTATAAGCATTATCAAATCTATTATTTCTTCAGTACAGTTAGTATTCTTCACTATTCTCTCTTTATACATTATTGAACCTTAAGTGAAACACTGTTAGACTAGAGCAGAATAACATAATTACAAAGAGTTTGTGCAGCAAACTTTGTATAGATACTGGATTACTGCCATTTTCTGGAGTCGGAACAATTCCCCAGAGCAACTGCTTTTTTAGTCAGACACACAGAATTATATACAGAATCTAGTGTGTGTTTTCGATTGGTACAAGTGGGATCTTCCATCAGAAGTGGACTATTCCATCAGACTGTAACCAGAATCCACTTTATTATTGGTCCTCACAGAACTTATTTCTGTCCTTCCTTATCTAATATTTTTGGTGAAATCATCTAAGACAATTAACTTAGGGTCTATTGAGACACACCATGTAACTCGGGTCTCTTCACCAATATTAATTCACTCATTGGTTTGCATCGCCTTCCTGTTAACTGTTTTTTTCTGACATTGATTCATTGCATCATGTGCTTTATCTATACAGTTGTGGTTTTATCTCAACATACCATGTCTGTCCTGCACTAGAATATTTGCTCCTCTAAGGTCAAGACTTGGAATGTGTCTCTAGCCAACTCATGCAATGGACTTCAAGCCTGTATCTTCCTTATTTGTTATCGTGGTTCACTAAAAAAATGTGGACACTATCTGCTGCTTACTCCATGTTATAAAATAAAAATGTACTTCTTGAAAACCTTTAAATATGTATATACTTAGTATTTGTATTCCACAAATACTTCACACCATTTTTTATTCACAAAGAAAATGTTTGACAGTACCAAGCTTCACCAAGAGATCGTTATTGATGTATACTTTCAAACATTTATCTGGATCCATTCTTTGTCTACCACCTCCTGTTTGGGAATACGGTGATAATGGTTCTCTTTGTCAAATGTGAAGCAACACAAATTGCAGTTATAGAATTAACTACGTGTGGCAGTTGGTTTTACTTCAAGAAATTTGGGATGCAAGTATGATGGTTATTGTGAAAACCCATAAATGGAAGATGAAATGGATTCTGAACTGGACCAGATGATTTTGATGACAAAATGGGATGCAATTAGACATGTTTTTGAAACTACCACTATTTATGAGCAATACTTATTATTTATAATCAGTTTCAAACTTTAAGTTCAAGTAATGTTCCTTTCCACACAAAGTGTTCCTTTGACCAGAAAACTATTGGGAGGTTTTACCACATTCTGCACTTTTTAAGGTCACCCTAGCGTATAAGTTATTCTTTCAAATATTCTAACTTATCCCTTGTTAGTTAAGTTCAATGAATGGAGATGGACAAACTTAGCTCTCCTCTTTAGGAGAGGCATGTACCACATTTTGGCCCACCATGAAATTTCCCTGACCACCCCGATTTTGAGTTCCATAATGATGTGACGACTAATATACATGCATCTTTCTCATTCAGCTTGTGAAGTAAATAAACCCATTTCTAGAGCTTTTTTTCATTATTTGCTCCTGAATACGTTTTTATATATGTTTGTATTGAATTTTTGATCGACGCTGTTGATGTGAGGATGGCACTTTTTAATTGTAAAGCATTTGAAGGGTAAATGTGGTTTGAATATTAGTATTGAACAAAGTCAGATTGCTAAACTGTAAGAATTTGTAACAAGTCTAAAATAAAATAATAAATAACACACAATGTTCAAAATAGGTATACACAAAATAAAAAACATTTTAATTAAGGTCAGTATATGACCACTAAAATGTTGACTCTACATGTTTCGACGTTGCAACGTCATCTTCAGGAGTGAGTTGCAAGACATAATCGTGTCTTATTTATACTTTTTTTTTTTGGTTGTTAAATAGGTTAAGTGACCTGTGTACAGGTTCACAATTCCCACATGAACTTTTTAGAAAAGGTCACCCCCACATTTTTGCATAAACATTTCCCAGATCTTCATCTCTATTTAACAGTACATGATCTTTTTTATATTTAATTATTTCCAAGGATTCTCGAATATTATGGCTATAATACCTTTTGGTTGAGCTAATATTACAGTTTTTTTACCACAAAACTGTATATTGTGTTTGATGTACATGTTCTGCTATGGCTGAACTTTAAGTTATTTTATTGCTTACGTATCCTTTATGCTCCATTAAACGATATTTTAAATTACGTTTAGTCTGTCCAATATGAATATTTCCACATTTACATTAAATTTACAGATTCCTGTTGTTGTTTTTTCCATTAACTGTATGTTATCTTTAGTATTACATAAAACTTGCGTATCTTATTAATCGGTTTAAATACAGAATAAAATATTTATTTTCTAGACTGTTAGACCTGGAATATATGAGCTTCCTTTTTAATTTTTTCATAACTGGGTTTTAAAGTAATACTTTGATCAGTCTCTACTACAATATTGAATTTCTTGACAGCTTTATCTACAATATTTGGGTTAAATCCTCTTTGAGCTGCTACAACAACAGTGAATTTCTTGACAGCTCTGTCTACAATATTTGGGTTAAATCCTCATTGAGCTGCTACAACAACAGTGAATTTCTTGACAGCTCTGTCTACAATATTTGGGTTAAATCCTCTTTGAGCTGCTACAACAACAGTGAATTTCTTGACAGCTCTGTCTACAATATTTGGGTTAAATCCTCTTTGAGCTGCTACAACAAGTGAATTTCTTGACAGCTCTATCTACAATATTCGGGTTAAATCCTCTTTCAGCTGCTACAAATTTCATTAATAATAACTCCTTTTCGTTTAGTACATATCTTCAAAATATTATGAAAATAAATGTAAAATGCAGATATTTTTTGTGATCTAATATGATGTGATTCATGGTGTGGAGGCATAAGAACAGAAAAGGGTTTCTGATAAATAGACGTTTCTAGATTACCTTGTAAATTCCTTTTTACTAATACATCTAGGAAAGACGAGCTGTTAGTTTTCTCAATTTCATAAGTAAATTATATAGATGGATCTATGCTATTAAAATAGCAACATCAAAACATGTAGAGTCCACTTTTTACCGGTCGTAGATTGACCTTAATTAAAAATGTTTTTAATTGTGTACCTATTTTAACATTATACACAAGTGCCAATATATAATACTCAAGTCTAAAATGTTTTGTGAACTTTTAACTACACTAAAAGAAGTCAGTATAAACATTTTAAAATGGAACACCTTATTATATTTCCCATATTGCATTTCAGCTTGATGTAGCCCTTACTAGTATCACGTACGTAACACTAAAAATATTATACTGAAGGTCGGTAGCTGTACAGTTGGTAACACATTCATGGAATAATAAACTACTGTATCTTTTGTAAACCAGGTTTTCATTGATTTTAGGTCCGACGAAATATAATTAAACATTACAAGTTTATGTAACTTGTACGTGAACAGTTACGACAAATCGTGGGTTTGTTTGAGAAAGGTTTTTGTCACCTCGCATCAACAGCTGCTGTCTCTGATTAATTAGAACATGAAACGGTTCCACAATAGCTTAAGTTATTTTGCTTTGAAATAATAAGTCATTTGTATTCAGATATCTGGTGATTAATACACAACGTGGAAAGTAAAGTGACCTCAGTGTAATTCTTGCTCCATCCTATATTATCTATTTACAAACAAACAATGGTCATTTTCTTGTTCTGCCTAGCATACGAAGTGCCATTATTCAAATGTTTAACTGCAAGCAAATGATAAAGTGATGTAAAAAATTTGTTTTTTTCCCCCCATTCCAACTACAATAATGAAAAGGCTTCCTCTGTATCTGAATATGGTCTGGTATCACACTTGACATCTATTAAACTACATTTCTTTATGTGTGTATAAACTGAGGG